TACATATCAAAACTACTTTCCTAAACTTACTTTCCTAAAGAATCATAAGAAAATAGCATATCCTGCAACTCGAGAATAATCCAAAGGTTAATCTAAGAACCAGAATGAGTTATTTGATAATTTTTCTCTTCTATCTTCACAACGATCAAGTATATAATTCTTTAAGTTATAATTACTAGAAATTTGCCATTTATATATGGTGTAATATTATGACATCCAACTCAGTTTAACATAATACATCAGGCTCCAAGTTAACATAAAGTAAATTGGTAATCCTTTGTATAAATCTGCTCTAAACATGATGATAACTCAATGATTGTGCTTTTTTGTTTAAAGAAATTATCAAAGATTAAATACCAATTTAATCCTGATGTAGCAATTTTTTTTAAGACAATCTTCAAATATTTTATTTATTATTTCAAAATTATTCCAATCTTCTGACATACAGGTATTTACGGTAAATTGTTGTTGATACTTTTGAAATTTATTTATTATTTCAGAGTAAGAAATACCATAAAGTACCTTTCCATCAATTTTCTTCATCACACCCACTTTTTTCCAAACTTCTGTCAATTTACTCCCTTCATATCTTGCTATATATTCATTACTTCTATATATTTTATATTAACAATGGTAATTAGCGATTCTTTGTACAAATAAGCATCCCATAGACCTAAATTTTGATGAAAAAGTTGAAATAAATTCTTTACTTACTCTATTCCATTCATTATTCCATTCTGTACCCATCTTTGGAACAAAAACTGTAAGCTTATCTATAATAAATGTAAATGGTTGAAATACTACATCATGAAGTAATTCTTTTATAATATTAGAATTATCAAACTCTATTACTAAAGGACCTGAAAACTCAGTACCTTGATTATTATTTTTTTATACATATTGTTAATTGCTGCAGAAGGAGTTTCAAATACCTTACACATTTCATCTACTTCATAACTAAAACCTGGTTTAAAATTTGTGTGTAATTGCCTAATAATACAAATTGTATAAATTTCATTTTTAAGCATTACTTTGACTTTCATTCCTATACGAAAAGATAAAACTAACTGACTTCTTGTTTGTGATCACCAATTTATGAAAAAAGGCCTATAATGAAATTCTAATATAATAATACCAGTTATTTTTGTTTAGTTGTCATAATTAATAAGAGTAAGAAATTGACATTCTAAAAAGCATAAAAATCATTATTTGGCAATAACCTCGAGTATTTATATGGAAATCCCTTCTTAATAAATGATCTGTGAATTAAATAAATTAATATTTAATAATAAAATTCTGCCCTAAAAGTCAGATGCAGCATTTATTAATAAAAAAATTATTTTTTATTAATTTTTTATATTAAAATACTGCCCTAAAAGTCAGACACAGCATTATTAAAAAATTAATTTTTAATAATATTTTATATTAAAATACTGCCCAAAAGTCAGACGCAGTATTTATTAATAAAAAAATTAATTTTATTAATTTTTTATATAAAAATGCTGCCCTGAAAGTCGAACGTGACATTTGTTATTAAAAAATTAATTTTTAGTAATAAAATGCCAATCTGAACGTCAGAGGTGGATTTTTGTTAAAAAACAATAATTTTGTTATTTTTTAATATTAAAACACCGTTCTGAATGTCAAGGCGAATTTTTATTAAAAAATTTTTGATCTATGCGGAATACTAGCAGCCAGTTAATACTCATATATGATTGCACAATTTTCTGGCAGCTGGAATATCATTTAAGCAGCAAATGACAGCTAACCTAATTCTTTTTCCATTCAGAAATTCTGTTGAGATTGGTATAACATATCCATTTTACAATTCTAATAATTCATTCACTATCGGAAAAAGATAGTGGTTTATCTAATATAACTTCGAACTTCACGTAGAAGGTTAGATATAATACTATATATGATGTCACTACTATATGCTGATGACTCAAATAGTTGGAATCTATCGAGATTTATCATAATTCCTAAATGGAAATCAGCAATTTTTGATGTAAAAATCGTGAAGAATTAGGTGTGTTAATTCATGATGGGAAATTTCTCTGTCATAAATATCAGTTATTAGTTCAGTATCATCCCAATTGGTCCATTTTTTCAAAAGTGATTTAAATTCTGGTCACTGATACATAGTAATCAATTGAGCCTTTAAAGTTAGTAAGAAAAAATTATCTTTAGTTTTCTAATGTAACCTTTAACTATCAATATTTGTTTTGTTATTTCTGTTTTATAAGGACTCCTCTAGTCTTTTCTCAGATGATTTGAAAATTCCACATGAGTGCATTTAAAGCCATTATTTAATTAATTATTCATCTTTTTTTGTAAAATTTCTAAAATTTTATATAATATATTACAATCTGCACTAGTTGAACTAAAGCTCTGCATGAGTCAGCTCACCATTAACCCGAACTGAGCCAAATTATTTTGGCTCACGAGCTGGCTCAGCTCAAGTCCAAATCGTGGCAAGCTGAGCTGGCTTGCGAGCTAAACAAACTGGCTTATATGGCTTAAATTATTAACAAAAATCTGAAAAAAATTTCAGAGTAATTGAAAAGTTCTGGAAAGCGATTTTCTTTAAGAGAATCATCTCTGAAATAGTTTCCTTCAAGAGAAATGTCTTCAAATTGATTCTCTTGATGCGAAAATGCTTCTGGAAAGTTTTTCTTTAAGAATTTTGCTCTAGGAGCATTTTTCTTTAAGAATTTTGCTCTAGAAGCATTTTTCTTTAAGAATTACGCTCCCAGAGTGTCATTTTTTAAGAAATTCACTTTTGAAGCGCTTTTCTTTAAGAATTTCGCTTTCAGAACGTTATTCTTTAAGAATTTCACTCCAAGAGCATTTTTTTTATAACTACGCTTTGGAGTATTTTCCTTTAAAAATTACACTCCTGAAGTGTCGTTCTTTAAGAAATTCACTTCTGAAGCGTTTTTCTTTAAGAAATTCACTTCTGGAGCGCTTTTCTTTAAGAAATTCACTTTGGAGCGTTTTTCTTTAAGTATTTTGCTCTGAGAGCATTTTTCTTTAAGAATTTCGCTCCAGAAGCATTTTTCTTTAATAATTTCACTCAGGAAGCATATTTCTTTAAGACTTACATTCCCAGAGCATCATTCTTTAAGAAATTCACTTCCGGAGCATTGTTATTTAAGAATTTTGCTCCAGGAGCATTTTTCTTTTAGAATTACGTTCCAGAGCATTTTTTTTAAGAATTTCACTCCAGAAGCATTTTTTCTTTAAGAATTATGCTCCTGAAGCATTTTTCTTTAAGAATTACGCCCCTAAAGCATTTTTTCTTTAAGAATTATGCTCCCAGAGCTTTTTTCTTTAAGAATTATGCTCACAGAACATTTTTCTTTAATATTACACTCTGGAGCGTTTTTTTAGAAAATTTGCTTCCAGAGCATTTTTCTTTAAGAACTATGCTTCCGGAGCATTTTTCTATAAGAATTACATTACTGAAGCGTTTGTCTTTAAGAAATATGTTACTGAAGCATTTTTTTATAAGAACTATGCTTCCAGAATGTTTTTCTTTAAGAAATATGCTTCCAGAATATTTTTTATAAGAATTACGCTTCCAGAGCATTTTCTTTAAGAAATACACTACTGAAGCATTTTTCTTTAAGAATTTCGCTTCCAAAATGTTTTCTTTTAAGAAATCCGCTTCTGTAGCATTAATAATATGAATTGACTTATAGTTGATGCAGATTACAAAATTTATATTTGTTTAGTTTATTTAATGAATCGAATTTTATTATTTGCAAAGCAATAATTTAAAAATTTAAAAAATTCTTAAAAATAATAAAAAGTATATAGAAATAATATAAAATAAAAATGAATACATAATAAATCTCTATAATTACTCTAAGTATTATTTTTAAAAAAAATAATTC